CACTGATCTGTTCGGGCGGTAGGCAAACTGTAGGGGGTCCACCGTGATGGGAACCACAGGAACCACTGGAACCACAGGCACTTCATGGCGACCGGTGTAAGTGCCACCGGCCTAAAGTCGTTCAGTTGGGATATGTTTGGTTTTTCAGGGACCGGTATTATAACAGAGGACTTACCACTAGTGTTACGTGAGGTAGCATGTGATGTTAACAGAGCCATTGCTGTTATTAGTGCTTTCACTAGGCACTGATTAAGCTAACCTCCATGTAGAAAAAAACAGGGATCATGCATAACTGTGCTCTGTGGCTTATGATAACCGCACTGGGTAATGGTTTAACCGTGATACGCGACCGCACTGGGTAATGGTTTAACTGCAACTTGTCAGTTTAGCCTTTAAATTGGCCACAGTGTGCAACGGCTCATCATGTTTGCCAAGACAGATTTCCATGACAAACGGGTTCACTGCTAAGGTATGTATGTGTGTATACACAGATGTATATATATGTATATGTATGCATGTGTGTGTATCGATGGAAGAAATATATGCAATTTCTTGTTTCAACAGAAATTTGAAGAGATACTTCTCAGACATCTTGGGTTCAAGAAAATATTTTTATACATTGCACGGTTAGCACGTGCCTGGACTTTAAACTGTACATATAAAAAAAAATCACACATTCTGATCTGAGCAGAGGTGCACAGCCTCTCTGCATTACTGCCACCACTGAAACATTACTGATGGGTTCCGATACCTGTAAAATGGTGTTGGAGAGAACAGCAGCAGGGGGCGCTGTCGAGTGGGTGTTCAGCCCATCACTGCCTCTGCTCCGGAAGCAGACACCCAGCCAAACTGCATCCTGCTCATGGCGAGTGTGCAATAACATTCCTTTCATAAATGCATTATCACATGGATGAATAATAAAATAATTCGGGCAATTCTCAACGTAATCACCTGGTAGTAAAATTCTGAAAACCTTTTTGCCGCGGGCTTTGACACCGATCAGTTCTGCCTTTCCACACGTGCAGAGTCCCAGCGTTACTGCCTTTCCACACTCTGCATCTTGGCTCTCAGCTTCATTCTGCTGAGGATGCAGGACCACACACAGGTGGGAAAACCCTCGCCCAAGGGTACAGCAGCAACATGAAGCACCATCCATTTCTCTAGCCTCTGCTCCACAAGGGAAGATTCAGAGAGAAAGACGGTCAGTGTGTTGTGCTTCTGAGAGTACAGCAGTCAGTGTGTCGTGTTTCTGAGAGCAGAGCAGTCAGTGTGTCGTGTTTCTGAGAGTACAGCAGTCAGTGTGTCGTGTTTCTGAGAGCAGAGCAGTCAGTGTGTTGCAGTGCTGGCAGGAGAGTGTGCACAGCTCTGAATTTCGGAACGCCTGCGGTTTCCGCACGTGCTCAGTCCTGTCCCCAGCAGACCTTTCTCACACCACTGCCAGCCTCCTCTTCACTCTCCGTTTCAGGATTCATCTCTGATTCATCGCCGAAGATGTCGGAGAAGAGGAAGATCTCCTGCTGCGTGCTAACAGCCCCTTCCTCGTCTCTGGAATGGCCTCTACACACCTGCAGTCTCTGCTCCAGCTTCGGCAAAACCTTGTCATACAAGAAGTCAATCACATCTGGAAGAACCAAACAGGAAACAGAGGTGAAGCATACACACACACACACACACACACACACACACACACACACACACACACACACACACACACACACACACACACACACACACACACACACACACACACACACACACAGTGGGAGCCTAACAGAGAGGCTTATGGACAGACCTACCTCCAAAGGACATTGTCTGCCACAGGGGAACCTGAGTGACCTTCAGTTTATAGAACTTGGACTGCACGTAGCTGGGAGGAACGTCCCTTCAGAAATAACAGCAGAATTTCAATGTTGACGGCTGACTGCACATGCTAATATCACTGCAAACATGACCCACCGTGCGAGGCTCTCAATGTCCTCACACAGCCACATCAGTTACAGGCCCTTTCACATCTTTGTAAGCACGTCGATGCAGCAGCAGACAGCGGGATATGAGTGAGTCTACGCTACCCAATGGCTTGCGTCAGATCCTCCCAGTTCACTTCCGCGGCGTCCTCAACATTCATCGCGTGCAGACTGGAAAAAACATGACAGCAGCGGTTAGCTAAAGGAGCAGTGATCCTGCACACGTTTCTCTCAGCTGACCGCTGACTGTTAGCGGCAGTGGCACTGTTTGCGTTTCTCTGAGCTGAGCTGACCTGCGGGCCGACAGTGGGCAGGGAGGTCCCTGCAGCCTCAGCCCCGGCTCAGACCGCCTGCAGCAGGTCTGTGTGTGATGTCACGCATTACATTTACATTTTTGGCATTTAGGAGACGCTCTTATCCAGAGAGACTTACAATGTTATCCATTTATACAGCTGGATATTTTACTGAGGCAGTTGTGGGTTAAGTACCTTGCCCAAGGGTACAGCAGCAGCGCCCCAGTGGGGAATCGAACCAGCGGCCTTTCAGTCACAAGTCCTGCTCCTTAACCACTATGCTACACTGCCGCATGACACATGATCGGGGACCACG